CACACACGCATCCAAGCTTGGGTGAAAATCAATCGCGAACAGGCTGTTAGTCCTACCCCCTCTGTGTCCTGATTCAGTGTGCTTGTGTTTGGCTGGCCCGGGTCGTACAAGTAGTGTGAAGAAGTCAGATAAGTCAACCGCTGCACCTACATCCCACAGCACAGAAAACCGACCAACTCGGACAGTGCTGGGGCTTGGGAATGGTAAAAGGGGGTGAGGTGGACGGACGGCTGAGCGCACTTGAAGCTATCGCTGTGCATTAAAGTCCGTGGCTTGGAGGGCTACCAACTGAGACGAGACAACTTGAAACATACACACAGTCGGCGTTAGATGTGGGTGTGTGTTTGTGTGGAATGGTCGACTAGCGGACTGTAATGGTGATCTGAATGTGGCCTTTAGGATACTTCCACTTCGTGGGATCAGAGCCAGGTGTGGTGGCACGCATATGGGCGGTTCCGGCCTCGCCAGTCATCCGCGCCCTTCCTCGCCTCCAGTCATTTTGGCTTGGCCTTGACATCAGTTCCAGGTGGGAGTGGGGGGAAAGAGTATTGTAGATGCAGCGAAAGTCTGCTCTCACTATAATCTACTTCACGTGCAAGTCATCGCGGTTGCTTCAGGCTTACTGTGGTACTTGGGGAACTTTGTTGAATTGTCTTATGTCTAACGTATAAATCACACACCGGCTAAAAGACCTGCCACCACTTCTTCATCCCCAGAACGTGAGAATGATCATAGAAATTGACGGCAGTTGCAACACTACCATGACATGGCTTGATGTGTTTTCAGGTTTTGCTGGTATAAGGATAGACAAATGCTTCCGTCTCCATGCCAGTGTCTTTTGAGAGTCGTTGGATTCATCGATTAGTCATTAGCCACCGGACGCGCATCCGAAGCTGAATAAACTACTGTCTGAACCAGTCCTCCTACAGCCTCCTACATTGCGTCTTACCAGCATCTGGCCTTGCTCGGTGGTCAAAGTGGGAAGACGGCTGAGCCGCACACCCGGCCACCGCACTCCCCTCCCCCCTATCCTAGCACGACAGTGTGGAGAACAAGGAACCCTTTCGGACGCACGTTTTTTCACAGTGCGCTCTTCCTTGTCACGTGGTCGTCTAGCCTGTCTGTCACCTCCCTCCCCGTCGCGTTTGTCGGCCTTCCGTACCGCAGATCAGCAGGTGATTAAAACACAGCGACGACAGAAGCGCGATTTTGTATTCTGCTTTTGCGTAGCTTTTTTGGAATATTTTTTGTTAAAGGCCATGGTATGCAAAGAAGAGGCCGAATTGGTTTCTATTCTAGTGTAAACGGAAGCGTTGGCCCCTCAACTGACAAATTTGACAATCGGAATGCTAAACCTTGAGCTTTTGGGGAACACTGGAGCAAGGGGGTGTGTAATTGAAAATTATGCAATTAGTAACCATTTGTCTGTCGTGTTGACCTCCAACAGCTGCAGTAAGTAGCAGTATTTAACAACGCAGGAGAACCGATTGATAAACAATCAATGCGGTTAGCTCCTTTCGTCAAACTTATCAAAAAAGGCGCTAGGATAAGTAACTAAGAGACGGCGTCATCACTTACTGCGAATAAGCAAAGGAGAGAAGTATATTCGAA